AGATAGATAGATAGATAGATAGATAGATAGATGTAAGTATTTGATGTACAGGTCAAAGGTCAAAATCCAGTTTGATAGAAAGATAGATAGAGATAGGCAAGGCAAGGCAAGGCAAGTTTATTTGTATAGCACATTTCATACACAATGGTAATTCAAAGTGCTTTACATAAAAGAAAAGAAAAAAAATAATCACAACAATAAAACAAGGAATTTAAAACTTTGAAAATTATTTAAAAAATTGATTTAAGAGGTTTAAAATGAATTTAAGAAAACGATTATACATAGAATATAGTGCAATCAGTTCGGACATCGCACAGTGCTCATTCAATGAATGCACAGCTAAACAGATGAGTTTTGAGTCTGCATTTAAATGTGACTAATGTTTTAGCACATCTGATCTCTTCTGGAAGCTGATTCCAACTGCGGGCGGCATAATAACTAAAAGCAGACTCCCCTTGTTTTGTGTGAACCCTTGGTATTTCTAACTGACTTGATCCTAATGATCTGAGTGGTCTGTTAGGTTTATATTCAGTGAACATATCTGCTATGTATTTAGGTCCTAGGCCATTGAGTGATTTATAAACGAGTAAAAGTACTTTAAAATCAATCCTAAATATAACTGGAAGCCAGTGTAAGGACCTGAGGACTGGTGTAATATGCTCAGATTTTCTGGTTCTAGTCAGAATTCTGGCAGCAGCGTTCTGGATGAGCTGCAGCTGTCTAATGGTCTTCTTGGGAAGGCCGGTGAGGAGACCATTACAATAGTCCACCCTGCTGGTGATAAAGGCATGAACAAGTTTCTCCAAGTCTTGACTGGAAACAAAACATCTAATTCTTGCAATGTTTTTGAGATGATAGTATGCTGATTTAGTTACTGCTTTGACATGACTACTGAAACTAAGGTCTGTCTCCAGAATCACACCAAGATTCCTGACTTTATTTTTAGTTGTTAGACCCCTAGAGTCAAGGTATGCATTCACCTTGAGAACTTCATCTTTGTTTCCAAATGCAATGACTTCAGTTTTTTCCTTGTTTAACTGAAGAAAGTTCTCGCACATCCAACTGTTAATTTCATCAATGCATTGGCAGAGGGAGTCAATGGGGCTGTAGTCATTTGGAGATAAGGCTAGGTAAATCTGGGTATCATCTGCATAGCTGTGATAGGCGATTTGGTTCTTTCTCATTATTTGACTTAGTGGGAGCATATACAGGCTAAACAAGAGCGGTGCAAGAATTGAGCCTTGTGGGACTCCGCATGTCATGGACGTCCACTTAGACTTATGCTCTCCTATACTCACATAATAACCTCTCCCTTCTAAGTATGACCTGAACCATTTGATTGCCATCCCAGAAAGCCCGACCCAGTTTTCCAGTCTCTCTAGTAGTATGTTATGATCGACAGTGTCAAACGCAGCACTGAGATCTAGTAGTACCAGCACTGATATTTTGCCAGATTCAGAATTTAAGCGAATATCATTTATTATCTTAATGAGCGCTGTCTCTGTGCTGTGATGCGGTCGAAAACCAGATTGAAAATTGTCCAGGTATCCATTTGAGTTTAAGTATTTGTTCAGCTGATTAAAGACTACCTTTTCAATAATCTTTCCTATAAAAGGAAGGTTTGATATTGGTCTATAGTTGCTCAATATGGTGTTATCAAGATTGCTCTTTTTCAGAAGGGGTTTAACAACTGCAGTTTTCAGGGAGTTTGGAAAAGTCCCAGAAAGAAGTGAGGCGTTCACCACTTCTAAGAGATCTGCTTCCAAACAGTTAAGCACCCTTTTGAAAAAATATGTGGGAAGTGTGTCAAGATAGCATGTTGACGATTTAAGGTGCTGTACTATTTCTTCCAAAATTTTGCTATCAATTTCTTCAAAAGCAGACATAGTATCTTCTTTTTGATATTGTGGTCGAATCTGTCTAACCTCTGCATAACTTGGGGATGTGCTAATCGCCTTCCTGATATTATTGATCTTCTCAGAAAAGAAGGAAGCAAACTCATTGCATTTGCTGTCGGAGAGCATTTCACTGGCAATCTGACTTGGGGGGTTTGTCAGTCTCTCAACAGTAGCAAAAAGAGTGCGAGTGTTGTTTAAGTTACTGTTTATAAGGTTTGAGAAGAATGACTGTCTAGCTTTGCCTAGTTCCACATTGAAAGCACGAAGGCTATCTTTATATATGCTATAGTGGATTTCAAGTTTCGTCTTCCGCCACATCCGTTCTGCTTTTCTGCATTGTCTTTTCATACTCTGAACTGCTGTTGATTTTCTCCAAGCTGATTTTTGTCTGCCAGACTTCTTGACTTTCACATGAGCAATATCATCAATAACATTCTTAACTTTTGAGTTAAAGGAATCAAGGAGAAGATCAACAGGGTCTGCAGAAATGCTTGGTGTTAAAGATATAGGCTTCATAAATAGCACACTAGTGTTCTCGTTCTCGGCAGAGACAGATCTAGATTAGTTGTAGCAGAGATCAATATATCAAAGAAAATACAGAAGTGATCAGATAGTGAGCCGTCCTTAATAACAATGGATGAAATGTTTAGACCTCTACTGATGATTAAATCTAGAGTATGTCCACGATTGTGTGTGGGTTCATGCACATGCTGAATCAGGTCAAAAGTGTTTAAAACAGTTATAATTTCTTTTGTAGTTTTGTTTTCTGCATTATCTATGTGAATATTAAAATCCCCTGCAATAGCAAAACAGTCAAACTCTGAGGAAATCGTTGATAGCATTTCTGTGAACTCTTCAGCAAAGGCTGGAGAGTATTTTGGAGGCCTGTAAATAATGATAAACAGAATGCGTGGAGCACCTTTCAACACAATCCCTAGATATTCAAAAGACAAGTACTGACCAAATGATACTTGCTTGCATTGATAGACATCTTTAAATAGAGCAGCTACACCTCCACCTCTCCTAACAGTCCTGCAAACACTCATGAAAGTAAAGTTAGGAGGGGCTGTTTCATTGAGGACCGTTGCACTGCAGCTGTCTTCTAGCCATGTTTCGTTTAGAAACATAAAATCCAGGTTGTTTGTGGTTATTAAGTCATTGATTAGAAATTATTTATTTTTTTAGTGAGCGAATGTTTAAAAATGCTAACTTGATGGCATTGCTTTGTCTCTACAGCAATCGTAGTTTGATGCATAACAGGCCGCAGATTAGATGAGTCAGCTGTACGGCTTAAGAAGGCCTTAGACTTTCTATCACGTGATAAAACAGAAATAGAGAAAGCTACAGGCACACTGGGTTCCCGCTTGTTCTGTAAACATTTGTAAGTGTTGCTGTTATTGTAGCGGGGACCCGACACATATCACAAGCACATATCTGAGTTACTTTTTCAAATAAGTAACACCGGTTACTTTCTTTCTCATTTATTGACTGACCGCTCTCCTGTCCACATGTTGAGAGAAATTGGGAGTAATTGCAGAGGCGTTGTGTGCGCTGTGTAAACATGCAATAGTTAAATGTTAAGTAACACAAATATTCTTTATGTATTTAATGCCATTTTAATAATCAGTGTCTTTGTTGCTGATCTTCAATGAGCCAATTCAACCATACTTTCACTAACACATTACTTTCTATAAAAAGTAACTAAGTAACGTAATTAGTTACTTTTTAAGTAATAACGCAATATTGTAATGCATTACTTTTAAATGTAACTTTCCCCAACACTGATCTCGCCATTATTAAAATTGTAAATCTAGCAAAGTTTTTTTTACAATGAGAGAATGCAAAAATTATATTTGTTGTTATTTTTGATATCTTAAAATCATAATAGTGTCTACTTGTTTTTTTAATGAATTATGCACATTATTATAATATTAATCTTTTTTATTTTATTTTTTACATTTTTTTAAATATTATGTTTTATTTTATTTATATATATTTAAGTATCAGTTTATGTACCGTAAATAAAATGCAGACTATAATATGTAGTTGCTATTTTGCAAGCAACACTGCATATAAACTAGCTTACAATAAATGTTTGAAGGCATTGTTTGAATAAATGTGGCCAGAGAAATGTGCAGTTAGTTTGGCACTAAAGCCGAGTCATCTTATAGGAGCAGAAGAAGGAGGGGCTGACATTTATAGACGTAATTATTAGGAAAAGCACAAATGTGAATATTTGTACCTCTCTAGCATCCATCACTGTGCCAACACCAACCGTCAGCGCCATGGTGGGGACTTTAGAGAGATCACCATCAAAGAAACGAGCGTTAGCCAGAATCGTGTCCATAGCCAGGGTCTTAACACGCGTTCGGGACACAAGACTGGATCCAGGCTCATTGAACGCAATGTGGCCATCAGGTCCAATACCTGCAACACGATTACAAGCCTGCGTTGTTTAATGGTGGCACTCACAGGTCAAAGCTCAATCCACTGTCTTACCGCCAACAAAAAGTTCGATTCCTCCAGCAGCTTTGATTTTGGCTTCAAAGTCCTGACACTCCTTCTCTAGATTGGATGCATTGCTGTCTAGGATGTGCGCATTTTCTGCTCGGATGTCGATGTGCTTGAAGAAGTTATTCCACATGAATGAATGGTAACTTTCAGGATGGTCTCTAGGAAGTCCTGTAACAAAAACAACAAGTTCAGTGTTCAACTAATTACGACAGGCAGTTCAACCCTTGATCCCCAAGCATAAACGAGCGGTCACATACCTACATACTCATCCATATTAAATGTTTTCACATACTGGAAGGATATTTCTCCCTTCTTGTGATACTCGATCAGTTTCTTGTAGCATCCAAGCGGAGTGCTTCCTGCAAAACACAGGAAATATGAACAGGCCTATATTACAAATGAACGTGTTTGCACAAAACAGTGAATTTTGTTTTTTTATGGCTACCTGTTGGAAGACCCAGAGTGAAGAATCGGTCAGGACCAGGATTAAACTTCTTGATCCTGTTCCTGATGTATTTGGCAGTCCATTCGCTGACCTGGTCATAGTCATCCAGTATGATGAGCTTCATGGCTTTATCTGTGTCTGAAGGAAGCTAACAGGTAAATTAACCTGGAGTGTGTGTGTGTGTGTGTGTGTGTTTGACACAGTCCTGCCTTCTCCAGACTTTAGCACCATACATTAATGCGGAAGCACTGTTGTAGTTTATTACACTTCACAGATATTTAGAAGTGCACAGTGAAGACTCCCGTTATAAAACAATTGACTGTAAACATGCGACAGATTATTGAAGGGTCTTTATACTTCACTACTCTTTTTGTCACACCAACACGTAGTTTCTCTCAGCACGTTAATAAACAAACTGTAATCGTTTGCTTTGAGTTACAAAAAAATGTTTATAGAACACGTGACTAGAAAATCGCAATGATGACACTGGAATTCATAATAAAATATTTTAAAATACACACAAAGAGACCGTCGCATTGAGGTAATAAACTCTTACCAGATCATATGTTTGTGAGGAACTCTTCCAGCAGCTCAGAGGAACACGATCATGTGATCGAGAGGAAACGCTGCACTTTTCACACAGGATTTGAGATTGAAATACATTGCGTCATCAAAAAGGGATTTTAGGAATGATTTAGAAACAAATTCGGCCAAGTCGACAAGATTTATACACTTAAAAATAGCTTATTAATCCATAAATGTGTACAAGGCAATTTCCACGTACATATGTTTTTTTAAGGCCGTGCAAATAAATAAATAAAGTTCGAAATGAGGTGCTTTACTTTTAAAACATGTTGATTAATGAATAAAGGAGGCCAATTTAAACTAGATAAAAAAGTTTGTCAAGACAAACTTTAAGTTGTCTTGAGAAAGCCGGACCAGAAAGTTTGAAAAAGTTTGAAAAGATTAAAAAGTTTGATGGTTTTCAGTCTGAAATAGTTTGAAGTTTAAAGTAGTTTTAAAAGCTTAAAGTTTGAAAGTTTTGAAGGCAATACAGTCTGTCAGAG